GCTCTTGTTCTCTTGCTTTCTTCTTATATTTATTTCTCGCCTTGTATATTCAACAACTTGTCTCGTTCACGGCGGTTTGGCATTATCAAAACCTGTCATAAAAAACGAACACGGCTTTAGTACGAAAACGTGATAAACCCGTGTTTCAACAGTGTTCAAACTGAAAAAGGCTCTATACAGACTTAAACAAGCCCCAAGAGCTTGGTATGAACGTTTGAGTTCGCATCTCTTGGAGAATGGATTTCAAAGAGGAAAGGTAGACACCACACTCTTCATTAAGCATAATGCTCTTGACATGCTTTTAGTACAAATCTATGTTGATGATATTATTTTTGGTGCTACTAATGATCTTATGTGTGAGGAATTTACTAAGATTATGCAAGGAGAGTTCGAAATGTCAATGATGGGAGAACTAAATTTCTTCCTCGGTCTTCAAATTCGACAACTTGAACATGGGACATTTCTTAGTCAAACGAAGTACTCAAAAGAACTTCTCAAGAAATTTGAGATGGAAGATTGTAAAGAAATGGCTACCCCAATGAGTTCTCAATGCTCACTTGATAAAGATGAAAGTGGTAAGTCGGTTGATGTGAAACGGTATCGAGGTATGATAGGTTCTTTACTTTATTTAACTGCTAGTAGACCTGATTTGATGTTTAGTGTTTGTATGTGTGCTAGATATCAAGCAAACCCTAAGGAATCTCATTTGACCGCTGTCAAACGGATCCTTAAGTATGTGAGAGGCACTTTGAACCTGGGACTTTGGTATCCCAAAGGTTCAACATGCACTCTTGTTGGGTATTCTGATTCCAATTTTGCTGGATGCAAAATGGATAGAAAAAGTACGAGTGGAACCTGTCACCTTTTTGGTTGTTCTCTTGTTTCTTGGTTTAGCAAGAAGCAAGTAAGTGTTTCTTTGTCCACCGCCGAGGCCGAGTATGTCGTTGCGGGGAGTTGTTGTGCACAAATCATTTGGATGAAACAACAACTTTTGGACTATGGCCTTGTACTTGATCACATTCCTTTGCGTTGTGATAATATGAGCGCTATAAATATTACGAAGAATCCTGTTCACCATTCTCGTACTAAGCATATAGATATTCGACATCACTTTATTAGAGACCATGTCCAAAAGGGTGATGTTGACATTGAGTTTGTCGATACAACTAATCAGTTGGCCGACATATTTACTAAACCCTTGGGCCGTGAGAATTTTAGTCGTATTAGAAATGCCTTAGGAATTATTGCTATTAACTAAGTTCTTTTAATTATTTTCATGTTAATTGATTGAATTTTGTACTAACTTAGGCATCGGAGTGGTTTTTAATTCTTTTTTGCAAGAACTCACCCATCCACTCCTCTTTCTTACTCCATAGGAAGCATTTATTAAGGGGGAATGTTTATTGACTTTGGATATTTGAAGAATTTCAAAGGCCTGCTTAACTACAGTGGTTTATTCAAATAAATTCAGAACTATTCGAATAAATATGCTCCATCCAGATTCCAGTGTTGCGTCTCAAGTTGATCTATTCGAATAATTTGGTACCTATTCGAATAAATTGGATTCCGGTGTCGCGGCTCATCATGCGTTATTCGAATAAATGAAGAACTATTCGAATAAATTAGATCAGATCTGATATTTTTAAAGGTCATTTATTCGGTCAAAGCTCCTTCACTTCTTCTCAGAATTAAATCGCCAATCTTCTCTCTCACTCGCGACTCCCTAGAACCCTAGTCGCAGCATCTTCTTCAATCTACGCAAGAATCCTCGTCGCCAAGCTCTTCTTCCACAATTGGTTCATCCTCGTCGCCAAGAACCCTAGGCGCGGCTTCACCGTCGACTCTCCATACCTAGGCGCCAAGCTTTTCTTCGACAACTCCATGGCGTCAAGGACAAAGAGGAAGACCATTCGGCAACCTGATTCTTCCTCTCTCCCTGGTTCTTCATCTCAACCACAATCTACACCCGAAGTCCCAAGGTTTGTCTACCCTCTTAATCCTCGGGTTTATTTTGAAGATGAGACCGATTTGAAAACTTTCCTTGAGCGATTCGTTCCTAGGAAGATTGTCACTCCTAGGTATGTCGATTTGGCGGAGTTTGAAAGAAACCAAGATTTTGAATCTGTTTTGTCCAAACTCCGCTCCTCGGGTCTCCTTAATGTCGTCACCATTAGAGAGACTCAAGTTCCTTTTGATTATATTAAGGCTTTTTATGCGTCTCTCATCTTCAAACGTCGTGGTTCCCAATTTGTTGTTACGGCTAAGTTTTGTGGAAAAGAAGTTGTTGTTACCAGTTCGGAGCTTAATTCTATGTTTGAGATGTCCAATTCTGGAGGTGAGATCACCACCGTGAACAATGACCAGAATCCATGGTATGATTTTGATGAGCGTAAATGTTGGGAGGCTATGGATTTCACGCCCCAATTCAATTCATCCAAACGTCCAATGGTGAGCGGGATGACACCACCTCAAAGATTGCTGCAATACATCTGTTCTTATATCTTGCGAGGTCGGGTTGGAAATCATCCCCAAATGTCCAAGGATGACTCGATGCTCATCTATGCAATTCTCAAGCCGGTTCCCATCAATTGGGGTAAATTCATTTTGACCTACATGAACTTCTGTCGTGCAAAGAAGCGAGCCCTTCCATATCCTCTTCTCGTCACTCATATTTTGAAGCAAAAAGGTTTTGAGTTTACTACTGCTGAGATGACTGATGATACTCCTTTTTGGCGAATCCGAGTGGAAACCGTAACTCGTGCTCAGAATGTTGATGATGACTCTAGTGACGATGATGATGATGTTGTTGCTCCTACCCAGAAGCGTCCGATTTCCTATAGAGGCAGGGTCTCTTTGCCGATGTTATACGACGCTATGCAAGGACTCCAAACCTCCCTTGACAACTTGAAGATTCAACAAGCTATCCATGGTTATAATTTGAACCAATTGTTGGTCAAGTCGGGAGAACATTGGGTGGTTCCATCGATGGATGCGTTGGAGCCATATATGTACCACGGGTCATCATCTTCTCAGGATACGACTATTCATCAAGAGACTCAGGGAATTGTTGATGATGAGGAAGATGAGATGGATGAGGAATGAGTGGATGGGGCACTCATGTTATTTTCTAAACTATTTATCTAATATCTCTTTATCTTTTGTCTTTGTTATATGTGACTTTGCTATCTCCCATTCCTCCTTGTGTTTTGATAAACTTAATGTTTTTTGTCCTTCACCCTTTTTGCTTATGACAAAATGGGAAGAGTAATGTGCTTGTGCTTGTGGTAGTGCAATCACTAAGGGGGAAGTAAGGGAAGTATTCTAAACTCTTTCTTTAAACTCTTTACTTGCCTTGTCTTGTTGCTCTTGTTGTATTTGTTGAAAACAGGATATTATTTGGAATCAAGCCCAAGCATTTGATAAGTTGGGTTTGTCATTATCAAAAAGGGGGAATTTGTTGACCCTTGTGTTTTGATAATGACAACTATCTCATGGGCTTGGCACTTTGGATGTTGATCTTCACAATCATGCGTAGGATCTCAAGACAAGTGTGAAGATATAGTGTTTTTTTTTTGTTTTGATCTTAGCATTTTTGTTAAAGTGTATGGCACGTTAGTTGTTTTTCCTCTTTGAAAATGTTTTCCAAAAACCCTTTAAATTGTTTTTGAGTCAGTTGCAAAATCATTTTTTTAAAACTGTGAAAACTATTCGAATAATTCTTGTTTTATTCGAATAAGACAGAGTTTTCAGTTCTGTCTTATTTGGATAAATAGCATATTATTCGAATAAGTCCTGACTTTCATTTCTTCAATCCTACAGTGATTTAGTCGAATAAACCTTAATTTATTCGAATAAGTCTGTGTTTTTCGCTCTGTCCTATTCGAATAAATATGATTTTATTCGAATAAGTCGTCAGTTTGAACTGCAGATTTGTCAGTTTTTAAGGGAGTTATCCATCCCTATCTTTCATAACTCACTTACAACGGTTCCTTTGCTTGAAGAACATTATTTATATCCATTCAAACATATTCTTCTAGGAATCCAAGCAATTCAATTCATACTTTTAATCCTTCAACATTACTCCCAAGCAATTCTTCAAGAAATCAATATTTGCTTGATTTTTGAAGAGTACTAGTGTGCCATACTCTATAAGTTCTTGTATTCTACAGCAATCCACTCTTAATTTGAAGAGTATTTCCGCTGTGCACTTTGTTTTTGGAACGGTGTGTGAATTGTAAAAACTTGAAGTTGTTATAATTCAAGTTTTGAAGTTGTTATAATTCAAGTTTTGGCTCATAGCTCCACTTAGAATCGGTTGGGGTTGTGCCTTGATAGCCAACCAAGTCTGTAGACTTTCTATAATTTTATCATGTAAAAGGCTGATGTAATACTTTACAATATCTCTTGTAACTGTAAACTTATATTACATTCCTTGAATATATTCTAGAGAAGTTTATCAGATGTCGCTCTAAGGATGAGACTAACTTCTCGGTACGAGTATATTTCTAAATGGTCCATAGTCGAGTATTAATGAGAGTAGCATATCGTTAATGCACGTGAGACTAGTGTGCGTGAGATATCTGACTGCGTCTCATAGTCAGTGATGGTGATATCGCATCTACGCATGGGCATATATTATTTGTTGATAATAGGATGCTGGACTGACCCACCATGAGAATGTAGCACTACATAGTGCCTCAAGCATTCTCATCACGACCCTGGATGTAACTATCCGACTTGAAGTTATTACGCTCTTCGACATGTGGACATTTATCGATTATTTGACCCTATCAGTCTAACTAGCAGATCAGTAAAGTACAGCTTAAACCAGACAAGGCTAGATACCCTAAGCCTTGGATTAAGTTAAGACATAGTGACAAAAGGATACACGTTACATGGAGTCTGTGTCATGGAAAAGTTTTGACAGTGCTAACGTCTTAGCTTATAATCTAGGGGTAATAGTGTGTTGCTAGATTCCGCCTATTACTTGTAGTATTAGTGAGAGCTATCTAATATTATGGCAAGCTTTATAAGCACCTATACGTGTCACACACTTTGGACAATTTAAGGAGTAGAATTATATAAAGGGATAATATTTAATTTGTATATTAAAATAGTAAAATAAAATATGCAAATATATATGATATATGTATTTATTACTTAGTATCTACATTTTTTTGTTGTAATAATAATGTGTGTGTGCGCGTGTGTGTGTGTATATATATATATATATATATATATATATATATATATATATATATATATATATATATATATATATATATATATATATATATATATATATATATATATATATATATATATATATATATATATATATATATATATATATATATATATATATATATATATATATATA